GTATTTTCTGATCATTCTTTAAAAAGTGACTTGGAAGAAGGTTTGAAGAAACTGAATGAATGCCTGGTATATCAAATGAAAGCTGTTATAACTGGGCTACCAAGTGAGCTCCAGGAAAGGCGCAAAGCAAAGGCGCAAAGCTACACATAAAAAAAAAAAAAAAAAAAAAAAAAAAAAAAAAGATAAAAGAGAGAGAATATCACAGGGTTCTTACTGGAATACAAGAGGAAACTACTGTTTTTTAATCCCAGCACTCAGGAGGTAGAGGCAGACACAGGTGGCCTATATAGTGAGAAGGTGTCTTGAAAAGGAAAAAAAAAAGGTCTAATTTTTCATTTTAGGATTTATTTTAATATGTATGTTTTGCCTGCATGTATGTCACAGTGTGCCTGGTGCCCACTGTGGTGGTTTGAAAGAAAATGGTCCCCAAAGGGAGTGGCACTTTTGGGAGATACGGCCTTGTTGGAGTAGGTGTGACCTTGTTGGAAGAAGCGTGTCACTGTGAGGTGGGCTTTGAGGTCTCCTATGCTCAAGCTACACCCAGTGTCACGGTCTATTTCCTGTTGACTTCTGATCAAGATGTAGCCAGCACCATGTCTGCCTCTATATCCCTGCCATGACAAGAATGACTGAACCTCTGAACTGTAAGCTGCCACCTCAGTGAGATGTTTTCCTTTATGAGAGCTGCTGGGGTCATGGTGTCTCTTCACAGCAATAGAAACCCTAAGACACCCAGAGGCCAGACGATGGAGTAGGGGCCCCAGGAAATCGAGTTACAGATGGTTGTGGGCCGCCATGTGGACCCTCTGGAAGGACAGCCAGGGCTCTTAACTGCTGAGCCAGCACTCCAGCCTCAAAATACGGCTAATTTTGAGCTGAGTTTAGCAAGTGTTTGTATTTTAGTACAGTCCCAAAGTTTCCATTTGACGAGTTCCCTCCCTAGGAGAGCCGTGATAATATGACTGCCAAGTATCGCATGGTGCTTGTTTTGAAAATATTTTGCATGGTTTAGGCAAAGGGCACATGCTAGCGCTTCAGATCCCAGTAACACAGGCCCACATTTCAGTTACTTTAATTCATGTCCATCGCACAACTTGGCAGAAAGATTCTCTTCCCCCACCCAATCTTCATTTGCTCTGGTCACTCTTGAGAATTCTGTTTTTAGAAAAAAGGTGCTTTGGAAGGAAGTGCCAGGGAAGATTTCAAAAGATGTTGTCTTGAAGCCTGTGAATGCTTTTCAGATTTTCTTCTCCGGCAATGAGATACTTGTTGATTTCCGTGGGAGGGCCCTTCTTGCCTGGACTAGAAAAACAAAGAAGGGAAGAAAAAAATGGAAATGCATCTGGTCAGTTCAGGGAATCTTTTAATTGTTTTCTTCTGGGAGGAGAGAGCGTGCATGTGAAAGGGAAGAATTATTGGCTGACTCCTGCTAGGATTATATTTCATATTTTAATTTAAAATTTACCTGTATGCTCAGAGCTGTGTGTAAGGAAGGGGGCGGGGCCTGAATACTGAGACTGAATCCGAAGCACACCTGATGCAGGTGACCGTGGGGGCTCCTTCCCGTTCACCCTCCCGCGTCCTCTCTTTCTTGGTGGGAGTGCAGCGTGCTGTGGAGTTCCTCTATGTTGTTTTGATTAATACTTGAAGGGAACGACTTAAAGCAAAGACCCTGTGAGCTCCTCCTTTCAGAAGGTTTAGTCTCTCCACATCGAGGAGGAGAGAGAGCGGAGTGGAGCATTAGCAGGAGGTGGCCAGGACAAGACAATGGCTGACATAGATAGGCCCCCAGGGACCTGCTTCCTCCATAGGCCCCCACCTCCCACTGTTCCTCCACTTCCTGGTGTGTGTGGTTTTTTCAGACTTTGAATCCATTAGTGGATTAAATCATTTGTTAAGACTGATCCTTCATGATTTTTAAAAATATAAACTTGTTTTATGTTCATTTATGTACTTATTTGTGTGTGTATATTTTGTTTGTGTTCTGGAGATTGAAGGGTGGATCCAGCCAGTAGTTAACCATAGAGGCCAGGCAGTGGTGGCACACGCCTTTAAACCCAGCACTTGGGAGGAGGAAGCAGGAAGAGCAGGAGTTCAAGGCCACCCTGGGCCACATGAGATTGAACTAGTCTAAAAGAGAAACAGAGCTGGGTGGTGGTGCCACACTCCTTTTATCCCAGCACTCGGGAGGTGGAGACAGAAATATAAGTCGGGTGGAGACAGGATCCTCGCATTTGCTCTGAATTGGCTTAGAGGCATTTTTGGAGCACGTAGAGGAGGAGCCAGGTGAAAACTCTGACCTTCAAGCTGAATCCAGGGAATGAATCAATTTCTGAAATGAAAATAGTTGGTAGAAAAGAGACCAAAGTTAGATTATGGTCAGAATACAACAGGAAGTACTGGGTAAACAGAATACAGTCGGGGTACAGTAGGAAGTACTGG